ATAATAATTTGATTCGACTACGCCTCTGCTACAGTGGTGGTCATCTCGCGGGCATTTGACCAAGAATCGCGAATCGCGATACGTTTCAACGTCTTATTATTTGGTCGCGGTGTCATAACGCCGACGAGATTTATTTCCCTTGCAATCAGAGAATACGGCCAGAGATTCACGCGTAGCTGCATCTATATAATATGTAATATACTTAATATATATAATAGGACATAGGTGGTACACCGCTGCACGCGCTCGCATTAGCCCCGAGGACATTTCAGTTTCTGTCCACCCAGTCATCAATCACAGACAAGGGATATTAAAGGAAAACAATCCCCCCTAGCAGCCAGTGTGTGTGTGTGTGTGTGTGTGTGTGTGTGTGTGTGTGTGTGTGTGTGTTCAGTTGCCAGTTTCTTTTGACTTTTGTACGTACACACGTCGTGCGCGATGTGTGTTATATACCAGGGAAAACCGTGTATACGGTTCCCGAGAGAGTTGTGGTGACACTTATGGTTATCGGTGTATACGCACGGTGTACGCGAATATCGTATAAGCATGTATGGGGTATATGTAGGCTACTTCGGTTCGGTCGATTCCAAATACGTGAAAAATTGACATTTTCGTTTAGACCCTAGTGAAAGTGCGTCGCCGTATATTATTAAACACACACGCACACTACAGTATAATATAATAACATAATATATTATAGGTACATACCTACATAATATTATAATAAACTATAGCAGTCAAAGTAGCTCAAAAGAAGTGGGGAGAAATCGCAATTTTTTTTAATATTCTACATAACATTATAATAATATATACATATTATATTTAAGGCACTCCTTCCACTTAAAAAGATATATTTTAAACAGATAATATAAATTATGTAAATATTTTTTTAGTTCAACTAGACGCTCAAAATCTTTTCCAGTTTCATTTGCAGAATGGAAGAATGTATTGTAGAATATAGACACATACTTGTTACAAAGTTATGAGTGAAACCACCATTAATTGTACGATTCTGTAAGTTGTAATATTGTACCTACCTAACATTTTGTTGACAACATAATATTATGAATTATGACATGATCATGTGATATGAAGCGTTCAGTACTTATGCAAGTATTAGCAGTCTGTCTCGACGAACTAAGTTGTTTTAAAATATACGTATAGGTATATGCCTACAGTAATCTATTTTATAAATACATAAATTGTAAATAGATTATAGATAATTGGCTTACTGTTGTACTCAATCTTTATTAATGTCGTCACTCGTTACTATAATATTATGCAAAATAATTAAAAATATATAATAGGTAGTAGGTACCTAGATATATCATTTGATCACATAATCTCTGGCTAATTAATAAATAAATCATCACCGTGGCCAAATAAGCTGTGTCTTATATTCTCATCTCATATCTGACGACGCGTGTTTAATGTAACAAAAACAGTAATAATAAAAGTATAATTATGCGTATAATGCGCCTGTCAAAATTACTACTTGTACTTATAATGTTTAGTATAAAAACCGGTTCTATATTAAATTCCTAGGGCTGGGCATTTTGTTCGTTATAACAGTGATATCTCATTAAAAGCAATAGTGTGTTTTATTTTATTTACATACTCATATTATATATTATGTACAGTTATTTATTCACTTGTATTTACAAAAACACGTAATTATTAGTAGTGTTACTAATTACTTAAAAATTAGAATTTATCGCAAATAAATGTAATATACTATAGTACATTACTACATTAATTAAAAATGTAAAATATTTTGTTAGGAAGAAAAATCGTAATTTGTTCCTATTGTTATCCTTTTTGGTTTTTTATTATACACATAGAACGATAAGAAAATAAACCATACAATGGAAAGAATGAATATGTTAATCATCAATAAACATAAGAGGCAGATACACACTGACTTTAAAATCGTTTATTATTATAAACCATTTTTCATTATCGTTCGCTTCCCCCGGTATAGAAAAATAAACTAAGGAAATTAATTGAGAGGGCTATATTATTATAGCATAATATGATTTCAAATTTGCTCATACAAAAGCTAATTTTTCATCACAGCTACAATAGTTACATTTCGAGTTATTTCTATAATACTTTACGTACTTGGGTACATATTATTTTATTTAATTAAACTATGGACTGTGGCTACTTATGATGTACCTACACGAACTGCAGTGTCAATTTAATAATGTGAAAATCGTGTACGTGTACCTACATACGCATATCGAATTTTGCGTTGGACAACAGCTGCAGCAGGCTTCAGCATTTTACTCAGCAGTGTCGGAGGTTCGTTTCCGGTAATGTATTGTGTAAGCGTGTTTTATTCTATTGACACACGTCATATACATACAACACACATATGTATTTATACATCATATTTAATATTATATGATCGTACATTGACACCTATTGGCATTTATGTTTAATACGAGATTATAATGATCCAACGCGGTATCGCCTTCCTGACATTGCGATACTCTTAATGTTTTGATAAATTAAACTTATCTACTGCCGCTAAGACTGTCAAAAAACTCTAAGCGCTTGTATGGCTATACAGTATACACAAAACATAAATAATATACTTAATATTAAATTATATAATGTGTATTTACATTCTTATTATATAATAATCATTTAACGCACGCTATCAAATCAACAGGTATAATAATCAATTGTTAATTTTTCTTTTATGACAACCATTTACATAAAATGGTGTACAATTATTCCGTTAACAATGTTGTGGCAGATATATTTTAGTTAGGCACATAACTAATTGTTTCATAGGATAAATTTCAGACTTGACTTATTTCTGCTGTAACAATTGAAACATGAAATATTTTGTTTTTGTGGCCACACATACACAATGTATGTAGGTAAGATTTCACTAAATTTATAGTTATATACATTTCTCTGTATAATATTACGAACGTACTACTTTACGTTATAATATAATAGTTGTAATATGGGAATATTATGAAGGTATTGTAGGTATACAATCTCCATGGTATAAAACTGTCTTCTAAACGGCGGAGACACGTGAAATAAGTAACAAAAATGGACATAGGTAGGTATACAATATTCTCTCACAGGTTTCTCAGGGAATGGTAGTTTTTATAAAATGGTCGAAAGACTAAAATATATCTACGGAGTTTTCTGGGTAAATGATTAAACATACGTGAAAACTGTACGGGCATTTTCTCTCCCTAACCGACTTGGAAAGTATGTTTAAACGAATCAAGACAAATCCGTCTTTTTTAACTGGATGGTACGAATTAGTGTCTACGCCCTGCAAATAAGTGATTTATCAGAGTTTCTCCATCGGTCATTTAGTTTAAGAGAAGACCGCAGATATAAAGTTTAAACGAAAAAATGAATTCAGAGAGTTTCGGACAAAGTATATAAACGAGTATATTATATACATCGTATATTTGGCATTGCTTTTAAAACTTTCCCAAACGATTCTCAACACTTTATAGGCTGTGCTTCATTATACATATATATATATATATATATGGTCTCTGCACAGGTAAGACACATTATTGTTGATTTGATAACGCGCATATAATATGTCGTAGTGGACCTAGGGATTGCCCTAGGGATAAGGTTTTTTTTTGTTTGGATTCCAACTTCAGAGGCCATTAAACAGCAACCAGGTATTCTCGTATATATTTGGTTTCTGTATGCAAGTCAAATGAATACATAATATTCATCAGAGACAACGGCTACACTACAACTGCTGCAAATTTTCACGGAAAATCAATTAAAACCTTGGTGCATAGTAGTCGAGGAATTTATACATTGTCATCAATTTAGAACCATTCGTATGATTATGAAATCATCGCAAATACTAGGTATCCTCAAATTCTGATAAGTTACGCCGGCCAGTATAATGGAATAGAAATGTGGAAATATAGTATTTAAACTAGCAATATACCTAGTACCTACCTAGTGCATTATATCACCATCCTCCCCGTTTGATTTCTGACACAGCCCACGAATCAACCGACAATCGAGTTTTATTCTTAGTTATAGTATCTTACAAATTATTAAACAGTTATTAACTTATTATGTTTTGACTTTTATAGTCTCTAATTTTAATACCTATAACTACACTCTATAAATCATCAATTTTACTTATATGATTACGATTAAATTATTTTGCACTCGTATTAAATTCCAGAATTAAAACTATAGTGTATACTTAGTAGACAGGGTTAAACAAATTGTAATATTAGCTATATTAGTTCGATGGTGATAATGCGAGCCGTATATCATGCCTACCTGCTGTGGATTGCGGACACAGCTTGATGAGTACTTTATATAAATAATGTTTTATTTTGATTTTGATTGCGGAAACTCCGATGACCCGCTATACGTGCAACTCAGCCACCTTGGTAGGAAATGTGCGAAAATTAAATTGTATGCATGCTTATATCTGAACTACCCGATGAACCACTGCAGGCAACCAATAAATAAAGCATAAAACCAATTTCTACTAAATAAATTTATATTTCTCCTATAACCAATAGCAATCGTATACAAACAAATATTTCCTTCGTAAATCTTAAAATCCCTGTTTGAGCAACTCCTCGGGTTGGACCTATCTGGTCCAATTGTGAATCTCAACCATTCAGGGCGTCACCCAAACGCATACAAAAAAATGTATTCGAATCGGTCCAGCGGTTTAGGAGAAGTTCAATGGCATCATACACACGTTCAGTAGAATTATAAATATAAAGATAGATAGCACACATTTGTGTAATCGGAGTTATCGCTATCGATTACCATTATTAATTATTATTGTTAAGTACCGAAATTCTATCCGAGGGGGAAAGGATAACAAAAGTTAGATAAACATTACATGACATTATATTTTACTACATTGAAAACACGGCATAAATACAGAATATAACTATTGTATATGAAAGAAAATACTATGTTTAGAACTCTGAATTTACTAATCGTGTTACCTACTGTTGCAGTGATGAAAACCGAATACCATCATCATCACCACCAACACCAAATGCAATCCAATCCGGCGTCGGTGGCGTTCGGCGGCACACCGTCAATGATGTCGGCGGCCGGCCACCACCAGGGCCTGCAGCAAATGTCGGCGGCGGATGCGGCTCGTGGCGGTGGTAGTGGCCAGCAACAGCAGCAACAACTGCAGAACATGTTGAACCAGTCGTCGGTTTCCGTGACCCGTTCGCAGGCGATCGGCGGCGGCGGCGGCTGCGGTGGCAACAGCGCGGCGATGATGCTGATGAACAACACTGGCCGCACCAACTTCACCAACAAACAACTAACCGAGCTGGAGAAGGAGTTCCACTTCAACCGATACCTCACCAGGGCCCGGCGGATCGAGATCGCGTCTGCGCTGCAGCTCAACGAGACCCAGGTGAAGATATGGTTCCAGAACCGGCGGATGAAACAGAAGAAACGACAGCGGGAGGGCCTGCTTCCGGTGGCCCAGCAACAGCACCACCTACAACAACAGGAAACCATGCACCTGAGCGGTGCGAGTAGCACCAGCAACTCACCGACCGCGTCCTCGAACGTGTAATGACCGGACGCAGAGGCCGTGAATTATGACGTGTGGCCTCGCGACTCTTATTATACATTGTCCCTTTGACGAACGACGACAAGGGTTTTTAAAGGTTATATGTTGCTGTACATCCGAGTGTATTCTTGTGATTTGTTTCTCAAAGGGTTATACACGATAGATGAAATTGCGCACGAGTGTACTGTTGTGATCCGATTGTGAAACGTTTATAGACCTGAGTAGACATCCAACGGGCCAAGCCACGTAACTCGACGTCGTAGATTCTGGGACACTGAACAACTGTAGTCTGTAATAATGATTATCCATTGATACTGCTGTAACAAATCTACGAGTTTTTTTTTTTAAATACCTATCCGATTTTCTAATTAATTTTTTTTTCCAGAATTGATTTTAATCGAATATAATATTAATTGTTATAAGATAATCAGGGATGGGATCTGATCTCGGTTTAAAGTTAATGATATTATGTTCTTTGAAATCCGGGAAATTCTTTGAAACTTAAATAAAATTAGAGTATATATATCATTAAACTTGCGTAATTAACATAAAATATATTTATTTCGACTCGTGCCTATCGAAGACAAACTAAACAATTTATGTGGGAGACTGAAAATTCGACATGGTATACTATATTATTAAACATATGACTACCTACATTAAGTTAGGTGAGTAAAATAGCTGATTAAATTAAATTTTTTTTTAAAAAACTGATCAAAAGTCATTTTTTAAAATTCCAACCACAATAAATCGGAGAATATTACTAAAATATTAAAAACTAACATTTTAAATTTAGTTTTCGTATTGCATTATAATAGATACATAATAAGTTTGGCTATGCTAACTGTACAACTCATGGAATTTTATGAACATATTATATGAAAGTTCTAGTAAATTCGTTCACCATTTAATATAAATATATTATATCGAATCGATTGCGTTTATACACATAGTTATGTGGCATTAGTTAAACTATTTATAAGTAAATAAAATAAGGGAATTTTCTACTCATAGTAAATGATAAAAACATCGTTTTCAACGCAATAAAGGTAAAACTTGAACAAAATCATAGACATATAATTTTAATAATAACTTTTGTTGTTTAATATTACCGTAAAAGTAACACATCGTGTACAAATAATATATTGCCATTTTCACAATCGGCGATCAAGACGCGCTTTTTAACAATTAATCTGTTATTATATGACGGCAGTCGTGTTTTCGTTTAGTTCCTATATAATATTTGTATTATTATTATTATTATTATTATTACTATATATATATATTTCATAATTATAATATGACTAATTACGTGTTTAATTATGTATACATACATATGTAAAGACTGTACAGTACAATATAAAATTACTTAATTACGAATATTTCTCTACATATTGACATTGCACGTAGGTATCTATACCTATTTAAACAAATTTTAATTTTAATCCTGTATGCAATATCCTCCAGTACAGTATTTAATTGATATGATATATTAATAAAATATCACAGTGTAATAACCGTTAAAATATGTCTAACCTATTCGTATACGGGGAAGGCCTATACCTAAGTAAAAATGAGTTTATTATATTATTTGTATTGCTGTACCGCACGAGTTCGACAACCGTTCTTATTCCTCTGGTTGCGATTTACTGAGGTTAAGATCGATAAATGTTAGTTAATCGAAAATTGTGTACAAACATAAATACATAATATTTTAATAAATGTAAATTATATACATACGTTGCTTGAAAGTATCATCCAAATATTGTAACATTTTATATTATATTATTATGTACAATGGGATAGGTACAACACGATTTCAGTCGTATCGTATTCAACGAATAATATGTAAGCCCGTTCATGTTATAATTTATAAAAAAACTTATATGTACTATATATTATTATTTGTGTTGTACTATTTGTAGTGGACGCCGTGTATAATAGAATAAAGAATGAACAAACCATAATAATATATTACTCATCAAATGTTTTTTTATATATACCTACTCATAATGTATCTATATAATATATTAAAAACAGTGTGTCTATGATAACTGGAAAGTGGAAACACTCTATACCTCGACGTAGATTTGAACAATTTCATTTCATCAAGATACTAAGTACCAAATGTACAATGTATTCGTTATTTAAGGTATTGGTTTTAATTTTTTTTTGTACTTAAGTTTCACGCATATGCAGTACCTACAACTTTAAAAAAAAATACTAACCATCCATTTTTACAGAAAATAGTTTTCTTTGTATTGTTCGTGTATTTTAGTAATATTGATCCAACTTCCAAGAAATAGTTTAAAATATTCGATATTACCTGAATACGCCTGTGTGAATAATGTATTTTTAATTGGTATTATTGAGCTGAGAGACTACACTCATAAATTATTTAAACCAGACAATTAATAACAGTGATATTTTACTCTAAAGAAAAGTATGTAACAATTTTAAAAAAAACCCATCAAGAGTTTGTTTAAAGAATAATAAAATATCACTCTGAATACTCCAAATACGACCGATTACGTTGTTTTATATTATTACGCTAAGTGTATTTTTTGACGTTGAAGTTTAAAACTAGGGTATCTATACGAAATCACGTCATATTGGTCAACTCGATAAAACGAAAAACGTCTTAAAATAAGCGATGGAACTGAACAGGATGTATCAAAATATAATAATATAGTCTATATTATATATAGGTAATATAAACGTTTATGGTCTGTAATAATTGTTCTTGAAGTGCGCTCGCTTTGAGGAATCGGGGCCAAATTGCTACCCACATATAAACACACTCACACACATACCTACGCCAATGGCGTACGAGCAAAGCGACATCACCACCGTCGCCGTGGACAATAGAGATCGAGCGGCGAGAATAGAACAACTCTCATCCGTCGGACCACTTTTTCGTTTCTGCCACTCGCCACTCTCTCACTCACTCTCTCGCCGGCCGATCATCGCGAGGGGCCGAAAGCAATAGGGACCGGACATTTTAATCTACCATTATGTGTCCCTGCAGCCTGTCTGCGCGCCTCACGTATATAATATATACGTATATAATACATATAGCTCTCTCACAAACACACACACACACACACACACACACACAAACGCGGGCGTGTGGATGACTTTATCCTTGTATATACGCGTCGATAGAGAGCGAGAGAGAGTGTTGCGGAGAGTGTCGGTTGAGTGCGAGAGAGTGTCTCGGATAGTGTTGGAGAGGGTGTGATAGTCCGGGGGTGGAGAGGGGGTGAAACACTCATACACGAAGTATAAAAAAAAAGAGAGAGAGAGAGAGGAAAAAAGAGTAAAAATAAAACACAATGGGGGTCCGCCGGTCACGGCGTTATCGGGGGAGGTGGCGGGCCGCAGGGGCGAGCAGGCAGTGGCAGTGAGTGGCAGTCGGCTGATAATAATGATGGATTATGAGAGACCCCGCGCGCGAGAGTTTCCCCCCGGGGGCGACCCGGTGCATGTGCGCAGAAAGTGGCGTGTGTATTATTATTATTACACACACACACAGACATCCATATACAAAATACATATACAGGGACCCGCGAAAACCTACGTCAAAACTGCTCTACGACCTTTGCACGTCGCGCCAACAGCTCCCACCTATATACATATATATATATAATACGTATAATACATGTATATACCTACAGCTACCGTGTTCTATATATATTAAGCCGCCTGTTATGTTATTTTTATTATTATATTTCAAGAAAATTTTTCGGTTATTTCGATTATATATATATTTCGTCATTTCGTTCGCCCCTTCGCCATCACCATTATTTCGCACGTTATTTTCATCATGCGATATGTTTTGGCGGGCGAGCGTTCGAACTCAAACTTTTTAATGCAACCACGTGATGTATTTGATATTATATTTATTGTATTTAGTTGTATAATAATACCTGGAGACGACGATGAATCCGCTTTCCCAGAGTTATTTAAACTTTTTCATTCCACGCCTCCTTTGTTATTATAAATTAAAGGAAACGGGAAGAAGGTATTTTAATGTCTAATTATTTAGTATAATATACATTATACATAAAAAAATATTATAATAAGACAGTCTATTTAATAATAATTATTCGTTCAAAAACTGATATTATATATATCTTACGTTTAGAGTAAAAGAGTATATTAATTATGTCAATCGTCATCGTCGTTCATTTTTTAGCTAGTGACTTGTCACTACTATACAAATGATTACATATTTTACATTCTTAGGGAAACGAAAATTGTATTGATTTTAATTTTTACTAAATAGGACCTATACTACAAAAGTATCACTTAAGTGATATGTCAGCAAAATGATCGGTTTTGAATACCTATAGACAGAAATTAATTTATCTAATTTGAAAGATTAAAGTTATCCAAATCATAATTTAAAATAATAGGTATATTATAATGGACTACTTTGATCCTAAGATCTGAATGCCATAAAATAATATTCAAATACTAAACGTTGACTATAGATATTCAATAAGCGGAATAGCCTGCTTTTTCTCGTTAAAATTTTTTAGTGGATTTGCTTCAACATCCTTCGCCGGATAATTTATATGGGAATTTACCAATTGAATGACCTTTTCATAAATCAATTGAAGGGGTACGCAAGAACTGGACAGCTTCATTTTTCGTCAAAATCTGGGTTTAATTGAATTTGATAAAGCGAAAATGTTCGAGTTTATCTGTACAAGAACGAGACTAATCCTACCATCCGTATAGGAAATATCATGTACCTAACTGGGAACTGCCTGGTTTTTTTTTCTGTTGAAAATATTAATATGTTTTAATAATAATATATTTTTAGTGTATATAATTAGAAATTATTCATAATTAATGAATTACACATAAATAGTTTTTTTTTTAAGATTGAATAAAAATAATTTGTTTTTCAATTTTTTCAATTGTTATGAACGTTAATAATATAGTTGGAACATTTATAATATACCTAATATACATACATACATAAACATACCTAAAATATATGCATCGCAATTGGTATACTGACCTAAAAAATAAGCAGTACATTGGTATATACCTACTGACCCTAAAATACAAATGTTGTCTTAGGCGCAACTGGTCCATGCCCATCCACATAATGCTGTTGTAGACTGCAAGTAACAAACCACCTTAAAATTATAAAATAAATCATACCCAGTGTACGATCCTGGGTTTTTTAAATGTTTTGATAAGCTTTTAAGGCGTGTATAGATATTATCGAATAGAGTTACGTAAATAAAATGTAAATGTGTGTCTATTACAGTGACTAACCGATTTGAAAAAGACCGGAATCAAATACGCTGTATCAAATAATATGTTAAAATGTTGCACTCAAAGTAGAAAACTGGTAATTTAATAAAATATCCTGGTAATGCTTGGAATACCAATGTAAAAATTCAGTCTAGTAAGAATTTAGTGTTCGAGCTTTGTTTAAAGATAACGGCAAATTTAAGAAAAAATGATTTTATAAGTAGTATCTTATTTTTTAACAGTATAGATAGTAATGAACGTGTTCAATTTTTATGCAATGATAAACATTAAAAACAATTCTGAACGGAGACGATATATCAGCTCCTATATTTAGGGATATTTTATAACTAATTTATATGAATAAATATATATTTTCGTCAAAACTATAGATCTTGGAATGTCTATAAAAGGATTTAAAATAATGTGTTAAAATTAAAAATTGAATGACTTACATTCTGAGCGAAGCGAAATAAGCTATTGATTTTACAATGGTCAATGATGTATGTTCTATGTCTTTCATCAACATTTGTGATACTAAACTTGCTCCGATTTTTTACTACGGCAACTTTTCTGATAGGAAAGTAAATCTAGTTGATATATTAACTCATTCAAAAGGTCAAAATTTAAAACTCCCAGTATTTCGAAAGCGGCGAGAAAAACAAAAAATTATTTAGAAAAATAGAAATTTTTACACCAATTTTTGACAAAATCGATTTAATTGTTTTATTGTAACTTAAAAACTAATGATCAGAGATACCTTAAATTTTCACCAGATGTTAATATGACCACTTTCTACACGCAGTACAATTTCCTTTTACTTTTTGAGCTATTTTAGCCATGAGACATTTTTGAAAGTTTTTTCAATTATTATTGTCGCTTAAAAAAATTTCACTCTTTAAAAAGCTTGAAAATTTAATACAAGCGCCTAAAATGTTGATTGAATAACAGTTAAAAAATATTTAAGAGACGTAGTCACGATTATTTTTTTTTATTGATTTAAAGATAAAATGTTGAAAAAATTCTGCAAAATCCCGAAAATGTGTAACCAATTTTTCAATTTGAAATTCATAAAAGTTTTTTTTTTCTAAGCTAGTATTATAACATTTAAAAGAAGATTCTTTGTATGTTTTTGTACTATTAACAAAAAAAAAGTTTCCCCGGAAGTAACTACGCTATTAGTAACCATGAGATATTTTCGATTTTTTTTAATTATTCAATTTGATTATTTAATACAAGTATAAACGTGCTAACACTAAGCACTACTTTCAAAATCATTTTTGTGTACAATAATGATTTATCGTTGAATTTAAATCTAACACATCTATTACAATTATATAGTCAACAGCAGAGCTGCTTGTCCTTCTTTTATACTTTGGGCCGGTC